AGTAGTGTTTTCAACCCACCTGTACATTTGCATTACCTGGGAACCTTTAAAATAATTGCCTTCTGTTTTAATTAGCTTGGAACGAGGCCCAGGCATTACTATTTTTAAGATTGCCCAGATGGTTCTTACATAAAGCTAGAGCTGAGAACTACTAAACCCCTTAGTATTTCTTTCTTAATTACCCCTACAGACATCTTTTCCATGTCACTATTAACTCAGAATTAGCTATACTTATTGTAGTAATTTCACAATATATACATGTGTCAAATCATTACATTTAATACCGAAAACTAATATAATGTTAAATCTCAATTTTATCAAGCTTTTCTTATATGCTCACTATGTAGTAATTACTTTTAAGCATTTGGACCTGGGGTAGGATGGGATTTGAGGTGATGTTTACCTCTAAGAGATGGAATCATGGCTTTAAAAAATGTGTGTTCTACTGCTCCATGGACAGGCTATTCCTGTCTCTCCCCCAACTTGGCTTCCCTCTTCCTTGAAATATAAAATATTAAAATTAGGCCAATTAATAACACTACAATCACCTCTAAGCATACAAGTGAATGAAAGACTTGCGTGTCCATCAGTTTAAATCTAAAGTTAAAAAAAACTAAGCTTAGTGAGACTGAAAGCTAGACCTCTTGCACCAGGCAGTTGGCCAAGATATAAATGCAAAATAAAGGTTCTTGAAGGAAATGAAAAGTGCTAGCTACTTTAATGATCAGAAGAATGATAACAAGCCAAATAGCCTTGTTGGGGGCACCCCTGGTGGCCTAGTGGTTATGTCTCGGCACTGTTACCACTATGGCCTGAGTTCAATTCTAGGCCAGGGAGCTAACCCCACATATGGTGGAGCAGACCCCTCCTGTCTCACTCGCTGCTCCCTCAGCAGTGCATATCAGTAGATCCGCTTGCTCTGCTTCCCAATCTGTCTCTGGTGAATCCTCTCATCACCCCCAACCCCTGAACCTCTGGCCTGCACCCCAGTTCATCTACATAAGAGTGAATTTTAAAAAATAGCCTTGTTGCTGATATGGAGAAAGTTTTCAAAGCTTTGGATAGAAGATCAAACCATCCACAACATTCCCTTAAGCCTAAGCCTAATTCAGAGCAAGACACCAACTCTCTTCAACTTTATGAAGGCTTAGATAAGTGAGGACACTACAGAAGAAAAGTATGAATTTAGAAAAGGTTGGTTCATGAGGTTTAAGGAAAGTAGTTGCCTCTAGAACAAAAAAGTATAAGGTGAAACAGCAAGTGCTGATGAAACAGCTTCAGCAAGTTATCCAAAAGATCTTGCTATGATAATTGAAGGTGGCTACATTACAAAACAGATTTCCAATGTAGAAGAAATAGTCTTATATTGGAAGATGTCATCTAGGACTTTCATAACTAGAGAGAAGAAATCAATGTCTGTCTCAAAGCTTCAAAAGACAGACCAACTCTCATTAGTGGGTAATGCAGCAGGCAATTATAAGATGAAGCCAATGCTCATTTACCATCTTAATGGTTTCAAAAAAAACCATAGAACTCTTAAGAATTATGCTAGGCCTCCCCGGTGGCACAGCGGTTGAGCGCTGGGTTGCGAAGCTGCCTGCAGCCTCTGCAGCACCAGTTCAATCCCCAGCCGCTGGACAAGGGTCCCACATGGTGCGGACCTCTCCTGCCTCCCGCTGCTCCCCTGGGCAGTGTACTTCATCACTCTGCCTGTTCTACTCTCTGCTCTGGCTCTGGTGAATTCTCTCACCTCCCGTGTCTCTGACTGTACCCAGTGCTTATATAAATAAATCTTTAAATAATAAAAAGAAAGAATTATGCTAACCTTAAACTTCTGTACTGTATATGTGAAACAATAGAGCCTAGATGACATCACATCTGTTTAAAATATGGTGTACTGAATACTTAAGCCCACCATTGAGATTTACTGTGTAAAAAAAAAATTCTTTCAAAATAATACAGTTCATTGACAATGCACCTGATTGTGCAAGAGATAATGTACAAGGGGATTAATGTTGTTCTCAAGTCTGCTAATACAGTATCCATTCTGTGGCTCATGGATTAAAGAGTAATTTTGACTTTTAAGTCATATATTTTAAGAAATATATTTTATGATGCTATAGTTGCCATAGGTAGCGATTCCTCTGATGAAAACCACTTGAGAAGTTTTTACTGTTCTAGATGCCAGTAAGAACATTTATGATTCATGGAAGGTCAAAACAAAATCAGGGGCCTCCCTGGTGGGGCAAGGGATTAAGACGCATCCTATGAAGCTATCTGCAACCACTGCAGCATGAGTTCAATCCCCAGCCAGGGAGCTACTCACATGGCGCAGCAGACCTCTCCTGTCTCACCCACTGCTCCCCTCAGCAGTGTATTTTTTTTTTTATATAAATTTTTTTATTTTTATATTCCCATACAATTGTGACCCCCTTATTTTGACCCCAATCCCTCCCCTCCCCGCCCCTTACCTCCCATAGAGTGTCTCTGGTTCATAGTTGTTTGTTGATTTTGATTTTCACTTTCTTATAGTTATTCATTTTCCTGGTCCCTTATTTAAGTTTTCTAGATTCCTGCTATGAGTGAGACCATCCGGTATTTTTCTTTTTCTTTCTGGCTTATTTTGCTGAGCATGATCCCTTCCAGCGCCATCCATGTTACTGCAAATTGCATGTGTTTATCTTTTTTGAATGCTGAGTAATATTCCATGGTATATATGTACCACATCTTCTTTTTTTTTTTTTTTTTTTTTTTTTTTTTTTATAGAGGCATGTTTTTATTTATTTATTTATTATATTTGTTTGTCTTGTTTATACATGCACTGGGTACAGTCAGAAGCGCGGGAGGGTGAGAGAATTCACCAGAGCCAGAGCGGGGAGCAGAGCAGGCAGAAGGGCTGAAGTACACTGCTGAGGGGAGCAGCGGGTGGCAGGAGAGGTCTGCGCACCATGTGGGATCCTCCTCCGGTGGCCGGGGAGCAGCCGGGGATCGAACCGGCGCCGCAGAGGCCGCGGGCAGTTTCGCAACCCAGCGCTCAACCGCTGCGCCACCGGGGAGGCCCTGTACCACATCTTCTTGATCCAGTCATCTGTTTTTGGGCATCTGGGCTGTTTCCAAAGCTTAGCTATTGTAAATAGTGCTGCTATAAACATAGGGGTGCAGGTGCTCTTTGGAATTGATGTTTCTGTGTCCTTTGGGTAAATACCTAGGAGTGGAATTGCTGGATCATATGGAAGCTCTATGTTTAGTAGGTCCAGAAATCTCCACACGGCTCTCCATAGTGGTTGAACCAGTTTTCACTCCCACCAACAGTGCAGAAGAGTTCCTTTTTCTCCACACCCTCGCCAACATTTGTTGTTGCTAGTTTTTTTAATATGTGCCATTCTCACTGGTGTAAGATGGTATCTCATGGTAGTTTTGATTGCATTTCCCTGATTACAAGTGATGTTGAACATTTTTTCATATGCCTGTTGGCCATTTGCACTTCCTCTTCAGAGAAGTTTCTTTTTAGCTCTTCTGCCCATTTTTGGGCTGGATTATTTTCTTTGTTGTTGTTGAGTCTCATCAGCTCTTTGCAGATTTTTGTGATCAGTCCTTTATCATTAGTGTTGGGTGCAAAAATATTCTCCCAGTTGGTGGGGTTTCTCTTTGTTTTTGTTATTGTCTCTTTTGCTGTGCAGAAGCTCTTTAATTTGATGTAGTCCCAGCTGTTTATCTTTGCCTTCACTATCACTCTCAGCAGTGTATTTTAGTCAGGCTACCTGTTCTGTTTCCCACTCTGTCTCTCTGGTGAAGCCTCTTACCCCCCCACACCTCTGGCCTATACCCCATTTCTTACATGCATAAATAAATTTTTTTAAATCTTAAAAAATATCAACAGGTATTTGGAAGAAACTGATTCCAACTTTCATAAATGACTTTGAGGGTCAAGACTTTGTTGGACATTGTTGGAATGACAACAAAGGATTTAGAATACATAATTCTAAATTTAAAATAACAAAATTAGTTGTTAAAGTATTGGGTTTGGGAGAATTAACTCCAATTTGAAAGGTAATCTACTGTGAGTAAAATGCTATCAAATAATATTGTACTCTATAGACAAATCTTTCTGAAAGAGTCATGATGAGAAAAACATCAATGTTGTGTTGTTTTAATAAAGTGCTACAATTACCCCTTCAGTAGCCACCAACCTGATCAGTCAAGAGCTATCAACATCAAGACAAAACCTATCAGCAAAAAGATCACTGTTCACTGAAGGCTTGGTCAACGATAACATTTTTTAGCAATAGTCTTTTTAATTATTAGTCTTTTTGATAGCTGAGTAGTATTTGACATAATTTTCCATTTTAGACATAATACATTTCCATTTTAGACATAATGTTGCATACTTAACTGACTATGCTCCAGTATAAATATAACTTTTATGTAGACTGGGAAACCAAAATATTCATGTGACTGGCTTTATTGCAGTATCTGCTTTATTGTGAAGGAACCTATCCCATAGTATTCTGAGATGTGCCTGTAATACTATTAACTTTCTTACATATTATCAATAGTTAAAGAATTTGGTGGAGGGAAATACCTGTTTACAATTTAAAAAAAAAAAAAGCCTGTGATGCTACTGATATACTTTTCTGGTATCTGATAAGATCCTAACTCCATAGCCTACTACTTCCACTAAACTCTGGCAATATCCCCAATATCTCAGTTAGTGAATTTCTAAGGTATTTTTCTAAAAATATTAATCAGCTTGTGAACCATAGTTTCCTGAAGTGCCCTCAATCCTATTACCATGGCCAGTTTCTTGTCTTTCTCTACCTCAAGTGATTATCACAAGTATTTCAGCTCCCATTTAATTAGTCCTAAACATTTACACTTTGTGCTTGTGATAGAATTAACTGCCAAATCTGTATAACTCAAACATCACATTTTTCCAAATTTATTTTTTGATTAATTTTATAAATTTTGTAATTAGTATAGATTTGTTTAATTTCCTCCAGGCATGTCTCCTTCAAAACTAAGCCTGAACCTAGAAAAATCAGTTTTGAAAAGTTAGATTTAAGACCACATGCTCGACCAACAGATGTAAAAAGTCAAGAAGCCAAGTCAAAAGGTAAAGTTGTGCACAATGTATTTACTTCTGTTTTTGGTTTATTGAGAGTGCTTTTATTATATACTTTATTATTTATTAATGCCTTTAAAGTTCTTGATAATTTGGTATGTCTGTTGAAAGCATTTGTGTGAAAATATATGGATTATGACTTCAGTGTGAATGATTTGTGAGCTATGAAGAATTTTCTAAGAAAAAATGTTACACATGTTCAACAGCCATATGAAAAAATGCTCAATATCATATATTTCTCTTTTCAAAGGAATTAATGAAAATATTTCTTTGACTATCAAGTGTGATTCTATTTTATTTAGAAATCCATTTTTTCCAACAATATACAGCTTAATTGTATAATAGCAATAACCAAAAGTTATATTTTGTTAATAGAAATTCATTTTTAAAGAAAGTTGTTCTAGAATATATTTGTCTCAAGAAAATGTAAAGATAACATATATATAAGCAAATGAGATTATCAGACTATATTTGTAAGAAGTTTACTGTGAACAGAGACAATGGTAAATTAAATTAAATTAAAAGTATGGAAATATTATTTGTTTTGATTTGTTACTTTAGACCCAGAGAAAGAAAATCTGAAACCAAGATCTACTAGATCACTTTATTTTCTTAAGGATATATCTGAGGTAGGTTTAATTTTGTAGAAATTTAGATGAACCCTAATATTTTATATATGTTTCTACAAATTCCAAATTCTAAAGCATAAAATTTTAAAGTGTTTTAATCTCTGATAATGTGTAAAACTTTATTATGCCTATGTAATGAAGCTGCAATAAAACCCCAAAAGGATAGTTTTCAGAGTGATTCCCTGTTAATGAACACATGAAGGTACAGATAAAATGACAGATCTGGAGAGAGAGTGATACACTCTGCAACCCTTTCCACATACCTTGTCCCACGTATCTCTTCATCTGGCTGTTGTTCCATATTTTACTAATCTTTGTAATAAACCGGTAATCTTATGAGTAAACAGATTTCTTGTGTTCTATGAGTCACTCACAAATTAAACCCGAGAAAGGGTTGGAAACTCTATAATTTATAGCTGTTTGCTCAAAAGCAGCAGGTAACACTTGGATTTGTATTTGATGTGGGGGCATGAGGAGAGGAGTTCTTGTGGTGCAATCTTATGGGACTGCGCCCTTAACCTTGGAATCTGATGCTGTCTCATGGTGGATAGAGTCAGACACTATCTGAGAATTGCTAGTTGATTGGTGAAGTCCCCTCTCCCCCTATTCCGACCATTGGAATTGGGTGTTCAAAACACTTATCTTTCAAGTTACTGATTATTATCCTATCTGGAAAATTTCATTTGTTCATATTAGAAAATGGAGATATGGGTTCATTTTTCAATGAAACTGCATTAAGTTTACAAGCCTCTCTCCAGAATTGAAAGCTGACTGTTGTGTGTGTATGGCACCGCTCTCAACCAGCTAGCTCTACTTTAGAATACGTAAGTAGACTAGGCCTGGCAGCCCTCCTTCCAGATGCTAACATGAAGAATTTTACTTTGTGCAGTCAAAACTATACTAGCAGAAAGTTTATTAGCGGAAGGGAGCTTCTTTTAGCCTAGGGATAATTAAATATCATTTCCTTTAATTCCTTTGATATTCTGCTAGTGGAATTGGGTCACTGGAAAGTGGGAGGACTGACAACTGGTTCAGAAGTTCCACAGACCAAATTTTATTTAATCTGTTGCTTTATAACTTTTGTTCTCATTAGCACACTCATTACCTACCAACTCTAAATCTGGTGTTTCATGATAGAGACAGATAGCATTTTTTTAGTGACTCCACTACTGTTCTTAAGGCTTCAATTAACTTTCTGTCTTTCAGAAATCTATTTGAAATCTCCCTTGGGCAGATTTTTCTTTTTTTCTCTCTCTCTCCTCTTCTATTTCTATTATAAATTTATTTTTAAAAGTTTCATGGGCATGAGTAGTCCTTCTGAGGAGTCCTTCTGAGTCAATAAAATGAACCATGCTGTTTACAGTCATGCCGTACTGATTCTCAGTTTTAAAGATAAAGGAAATAAAAATCAGTAAGAAGTGTGAACATAGACAAAAATTTCTCTATATTTGTTTCCTTATTTGTTTCCTATATTTGTTTTCTCTATATTTGTTTCCTTATCATAATTAAATATTCCAAATGTGAATATCAGGTATAAATTATTTATCAATATACATGGAAAGAAATAATTTCTAAGACAGTTTTCTGTTTTTCCTGATGTTTAGGTGGAATATGCTAAGCCCTTGCATAATCTATATTCACAGCATAGTCAAACACGTAGAAGAAAGTTGAGTTCTACAATCTTTTCTCCTGTACCCAGTAATGAATCTAAAGTTTATAAAAAGGAAAAAGACTCTATTTTATTTGCAGGTATTCATATTGTGTGTTTATTTTGAAATAGCTGGAAATTAACTGTACTAACTTCAAAATATAAACAACAAGAAAACCTTTAGCCAAAGAATATCAGTATCTAATCATATTACCATATTATTTCATTATTTAATAACATATGAAGACTCTATTACAAAAAATGTTGAAGTCCAGTTTCCTTAGCATGGTATATAAAATCTTTCTGGGCCTCCCTGGTGGCGCAGTGGGTTGAGTGCAGCGCTGTGAAGCTGTCCGCAGCCTCTGCAGCACGGGTTCCATCCCAACAGCCAGAGAGAATCGCACATGGTGCAGCAGACCTCTCCTGTTGCGCCCGCTGCTCCCCTCAGTAGTGTATTTTGGTCCGTCTGCCTGTTCTGCTCCCCGCTCTGTCTCTGATGAATCCTCGCACCCTCCCGCACCTCTGGCCTGTACCCCAGCTCTTGTATAAAAGTAAATAAATGTTTTAAAAAAAAAACTTTCTAACTATCTATTCTGTCTTTTTATCTATACTGATTCTCATTATAATGAGCAGTCTGTGCCAACTACTGTGTGATTTGACCCATTCTGTTCACGATGCTCAAAATACGCTTCTCTACCTGATAGTGTCTTATTCATCTTTAATAGTTGAGACACTATTAGCTGCAATTAAATGAAAATCTGACTACATGTGGCTCAAATAATAAAGATATTTATTACTTAAATAAGCTCATCAGTAAGGCAATTTCAGGAATGATTAATTCAGGGGCTTTACATTGTAAAATATTTTAACAGGATATTTTCTAAATGCAACATATATGAGTGTGTATCTGTGTTTCTTTCATGAAAATCTTTTATTATTTCAGCTCAGACTGAGAGAAAAACTAGTGAATCACTTGATTTGGTTGATCACTTAGAAGATTATGAAAATAAAAGGTAATTGATTTTGAAATGTTTAATATTTTATCCCATGCAGAGATGTTTCTAATAGGAAGAGTTCTTTCATTTCCTAATAGGTTATAATGAATTTATTCTGGTGTATTATTATCATTTAGGGCCATATAGTGAACCAATGACTGGCCCAAGACTGCTCAACTAGTCACATCACATTCAGACATTAAGTGATGCTCTCTGCTGCAGGTCCACAGTCACAGGAGAGAAAGACATGAAAAAGTGAATAGGAAGAATACAATTATGTTTTGTAGTAGAGACCCAAATTTAATTACAGTACAATATGATGTGAAAAAAGTGTTTTTTTTTCATATAAAGTTCTGATATTTCTCATAAGATCTTCAAACACTGAAGAAAGAAAAAAATCATATTAATCCAGTGTACAGCTGGAGCAACAATGTACAAATGTACAATAATATACAGCAGTGAGTCCTTCTAATACAGTGCTACTTTAAATAGTGCTACAACAACAACAAATAAATAAATAAATAAATAGTGCTACAACAGCATTGTCAAAGGATAGTGCCAAGGACAGTGCCAAGAAGGGGAAAAGGTCACTGTCTAAACTCAATTGCAAGATATCACTCAGGCTCAGTGTCCAACAATAATGAGCTTTATCTAACAAACAGGAGATTGAAAGGAAGGAGAGAGTTTCTAGGGCCATAAATGTCTGTCTATCTCACCCCAAATAGTGTCCACAGTGTCCTGTAGTTCTAAACAAAGGCCACTCATGCTATATGGAGCTGGTGGAGACTGGAGGAGCTGGTGGCACAGTGGTCAGCAGTGTATCAGGATTCAACTCATGGTGGCAACTGGAGCTCCTCATAGGTGGGGTCACTGGGGTGATGCTGCAGCCACCCACAACAATAGTCTGAAGACTGGACAGCACCAGGTGCCAGACAGGACTGTGACAGACTCAACAGCACCAGGAAGTGGTGCCAGAGAACCAAACGCAGTGGATAACTCTCAGATGTGGCTACAGAGTGCTGGTCACTAATCAGTAATGTCTGTCAACACTGGTCACTAGGGGGTGGTGTCAGAGACCAGATCTTTGTGCGCACTTAATATGAACCAATAGCCAAAAGCTCTTTGAAACACCAGGCCAAGGCTAATGATGCTCCTTGCAGGCAATGCAGAGGCAGGGCCAGAGGCAGGTGCAGTGGTTGGGTCTCTCTGAATGTCTCCTGAAGTCTGGAAGTCTGGAAGTCTACAGAGGTCTGCAGAGGTTTGCTGAATCCCATGGAGGTCATCTGCTGAATGATTCTTTCTTTAGAGGTTGGCTTCTGAGTGCTTTTTCTCTCTTTAGAGACTGGTCAAACCTAAGTATCTAATTGGTTTGGCTAGCACCAATCAGGTCACTACTATTTTCATTCCACATAATTAATTCCAGCCCTTGACTGAAAGCTAGAGAGCTCAAACCTGATTGGTTCATTAATGATCCTGAAGCCAGATACAAAAGGGAAAAGCCCACCCCTGCGTAAGACAGCTTGTACTCAGGTCAGGGCAGGCTTGTGGGCCACAGGTTTTGGTTTCATTTTTATTACTCTTTAGCATGATATCTGAGTATGTGAATGAGGGACTCACTGTATGGTTGTGACACTGAGGAAAGAGTTTTGGTCAGTGCCCTTAATACTCATTCCCTGATGTTTCATGACTACTGAGATCTACAATCCATTAATTTGTGGTCTGATCTTTCTGAAATTGGATAGGATTCACTTTCAACACTCATTAGTATGGAAGGACCTATATCCTTCTCTGTCCATAGACAGCTATACCTCAACTTTGCCAAATATTTGCTATGGATTACCTCAGCCCCTGCAATGGTGAGCCCCTAAACAAGCTTAAACTCAGTGTCCTTGTCACATGTGAACCAAAAGATATGAAATGAAAACTATATCTTCTCTATGCCTAACCACACCCTTCCATCCTGTTAACAAATCTGGGACCGCCTTGTATTGGTGGGAAGGTTCCCTGCAAAGCATTTTTCTCTCAAAATCTCAAAAAAAAGATATAGCAAATTTCTCTCACCTTTAGTGTTTTCCATCTATATAATATAGCTTGTCCTCCCCTCTCAAAAATCAAAGACACACACATATTATTGTCTTACTTTCATCCCTGCTTTTGCCATTCCCCTCCCTCTCCCTGTCACACAAAGGCATCAGGCAGGAAGGGGTGGGGATGTCAGTCAGGTTTAAAGTCTATGAGAGAGGGTTTGGGGGCAATGGTGGCAGTGACTTTAAGGGATGAGAGAGGCAGACAAGAACTTACAAACTGAAATCAGCCTTGTGTATATTTATAGTGAATGTGTGTTCATTTTCAGAAGAGAATCTCTTCCACAAATGAATGACTATAGTGCAGAAGAAACGAAATATATCAAAAGTGATCAGTTAAGTAATGATTCTTCAGTGAAAATGAAAAACTTGCTACCCTTGTGCTTTGAGGATGAATTGAAAAAGCCAAATGCCAAGATAATAGATATTAGTCCAGCAAAGACAGAAACAAGTCATATGGTAAAAAAAATATCTACTACAATTCACTGAATATGAGTATTATTGCTATTTGTGGAAATCTTATATTCTGGTAACTGTAATCTTGGTTAAATCCTTCTTGCCTCTTGGTTTCACATTCTGAAGTAATAACACTTAAATTTTTATAGCTTTTTTTGAGAACTGGCGCTCCAAAACTAGAAATTCCTTTGCCTCAGTTGAAAATTTTGTGTTTTTCTTTATGAATGTTTTATCAAAATTTAAAAGAAATATAAAAAACGGTATTAAAAATGACATGTTTCATTTTTCCACCAATCTATTTTAGTTATCTGAAGACATATTTAATAAAGACTATTTGGTAGCCCACAGAGTCTCTAGGAAGGCTGGAGAGACTCTGACTTGAATTGTCTTCAGTTATGAGTCTCCTAATGGCAGCCACAGACTGATCCCCTGGACCCCATGCTGTTGTCAAGCACAAGACTTTACAACTGTTATTTTGAGCAGAGTACACTGTTTCTAAGAACTTTGCCACTGCTGTCATTCAAAACTGTCATTCAAAAACTAGGTATCTCTACCACCATCCTTACTAGAATGGTTTACACAATGTGAACTTTCTTACAATGCTTGCTTTTCTGAAGACTTGTTAAGTTTATCTGATAGGCAGAGGCTGTATCACTTGCCTATGTTTTAACTGTAAGGGAAACTGATAAAGCTCATTTCTCCCCCACCTAAAGGTACATAGACTTGTAAAGTGAAAAACCCCCTAGGTTGATGAGATGACCAAAAATATGATATACCTCCACTGCTCTGACTAAGTTGGTTACTCTGGCCTCACCCATGGATGGCAAAATTAGATATTTTGTCATTTTTATTTCAGCAACGGTAGAGACATGACTTTGTAATTTCAACTTGTAATTAATTATATCTCATGATCTTTGACTCAATGTGTGTTTTTTTTTTTAAGATTTATTTATTTATATAAGAACTGGGGTACAGGTCAGAGGCATGGGAGGGTGAGAGAATTCACCAGAGACAGAATGGGGAGCAGAACAGGCAGACAGACTGAGGACACTGCTGAGGGGAGCAGTGGGCGAGGCATGAGAGGTCTGCCACACCATGTGGGAATCTCCCTGGCCTGCCGGCAATCGAACCTGCGCTGTGGAGGCTGCAGACAGCTTCACAGGGTGGCGCTCAACCTGCTCCACCACCGGGGAGGCCCAACTCATTGTGTGTTTTATATATTTTTTTGTTTTTATATTATTTTTGGACATTAAAACTTAGGAAATGCCAGAACAATGTTCCACCCCACCAACTATCCTCTTTCCTAAGAAAGAGAATTTATTTCTTTATATGCCAGTTTATTTCAATAAAATTTGGGGAGGTCAAAAGTTGAGAATTGACCCCAAATATTTTGATAGAATGTGAGAAAGAAGTATATCATATACAAGTATATCTTTTTTTTTAATTTCAGTATTTTATTTTATATAATTCTTACATCATTTTTCATCTTTGACAAGTATATCTTTTTAAGTGTGTTTGAATACCATTTTTATTCAAGTTAAAAACTATTTTTAATTACTTTTAGAATATTAACCATTTACTTTCATATAGAATACATGTAGCTTTCTTGCTTTAATAATCTGATGACTAAATACTCTTTTATTTAATCCACAGGAACAACATGATACAAATCCCATAATTTTTCATGAGACTGAATATATAAAAATGTTACTTTTGACAAAAGATAGGCTTCCTCCCTATCTTATACAAGATAGAAATATTTACCCATATAAAAGAACAAATCTCATGTTAGAAAGAAATCATGAATTCCTCAAATCCCTAATTAATGCTCAATCTATTACTCCTTCCAAATTCAAAAGAACTGCTTCCAAGGCACGGGAAAATGACATTCCAGAAACAACTTCTGAAATGGATAAACTAAGAAAGAAGACTATTAAGTGGACAGTAGAAAAAATACCTTGGAATAAACTTAATAATTTCTCCCAGACTTTTTCCAGCTTAAGGAAAAAATTTTTGGGTTTCCTTGATAAAACTGTTATTCAAGAAATGGATACTCAAACTGACAAACCTAAAAGAATGTTTTCTACAGTAAAACCAATAAACGCATACAAATTCAGTGCCTCACCTGTGAAATATTACTCAAAACCAATAAAAAATATAATGAAAGTACAGGTATTAAGTAATGTAACACCATTGGATAATTTATTAAAGCTTCCAAGTGAAAATTAAGCACCTCATAAAATATTAATCATAAAACAATATTTGGATAACAAGAAGCAAGTAACAAAGATGCAAGATCTAGAAGAAATTCTTACTTAAAAAGAATGACATTCTGATGGATGGTATAAAGCAATGCAAGAAATTGGAGTTACAAATCAACAGTGGTCTGTTCAAGAAAAATCTTGATAAATAAGAGGATAAAATTAAGAATAATCAACAAGAGCTAGTTCATGAGTTTCTCAAATAGGTCTCCTAATCATCAGTATTCTACAATAGTCTGATTCAGAACAAAGCGTAGTACAGACTGCAAATTCTCTGTTGGAATCCAAATAACATCAATGACCTTGCTCCATAATTGAATATCAAATAGGACAAATGTACCATTAACTTAATATATGTGAAATCCATTGTATATCAGCATTTTGGATAATTACTGGAAAATTGTATTATATCAGCAATTCATACAATTAAAAGTTGTAAAATTTCAAATAGTTTTTTATTAGTTGTTGGAACTTCATTCCTATATTATGACTTTTCCAAGTATAACTTTGTCTTTTTCTGAATTGTTAAATATTGTAAAAGAATCACTAACTTATCTTTTATAAACTAAGCAACTCCTAAAAAGTATTGAACATTTTGTGTATTTTATATATATATATATATTGCTGTTTTACTGTTTATCATTAACTTCTCATTAACCAAAATATTATGCTGGCAGAACTCCACTTAGAGTTGCCCTTGAAGTCCATTTGTCTAAGGATTTTTAAATCTTAATTGTTAGTACTTGAGCAGAAGTAGGTTTAATTAGAAGCATTCTAGTTTGAGGAAGACTTTGAGGTGTTTTTGCCTTTGTGTTTTTAAACTTCCAAGGGTGAGAAGGTATGTACTTGTTTGGATTTTTCTGTTTCCATTTCAGACTGGAAGTTTTCTTTATTGCATGTCATCATTGTTAATATTAGGCATCTCTTCACAAGTAGAGGAAGGTTTTGGTTCTCAAAGGGAATGACAGAGAGAGAAAATGGAGACGAGAGGAAAAGAGGGGTATAATTGAAGACTATGTAAGGAAAGTAAAAGAGAAAGGTGTCAGGATAAGGTGGAAGGCCTTAAAAGGTATGTAGGAGGTGGGGGAGAAGCATATAGTTTCCTGGTTGTTGAACTTTCTTCTGGCCGCCAGTATCTGACACAGGTACTAGCTCACAGAGAGTATGGATGGAGTTTCAGGGAGAGAACCACCAGGGCATTTCAAGCTGTTTGCAAGTTATCAATTTTCCTTTAATTTCTGGGTCACACTTTACTGGAACTCAGAGTTTAATACCTTAGGCCTTAGGCTTTACCTATTTGCATGCTTCCCTGAGCTCCTTGAACACCAGCCGTGACCAGAATTAGGCCCCTATTTGTTCCATCATGGTGACTGAAAATTTATCGTAGATGGCCCAAAAAGAAAGTCCATCTCAAAATATACATAGTTAAGTCCAAGATGACATTTCACCATCTTGACCTAGTATAAGCAGCACATGAGGAGACTTTTCTTCTTGTTACATATAATAGAAGGTCTTGATTTACCCAATTTAAATCTATACCTAAGTAACACAAGATTTGTATACTCTTACCAGGAGTCAAGTACTGGGTACTGTAAGTTAAAAGAACAGACTTAAAAGTTCTGCCAATTTTGATACATTTGATCTAGTAAAATCTTTCTTTTAACTCCACTACTCTCTCTTACTAACCTACATGTTCCTTTAACTACCAACAAATCTCCTCTGATTTGTTGTACGTTTTTTGTAGTAAGGCAATAGATTTCTCCCTTTTTATTTCCTCTTCTTTACTTCCTCCCCCCACCCCCTGCAATAGTATTGTATTTTTGTGGAACTATGCACCCATCATATTTAGAAAAATTGTAGTCATGTAACAGTGTAATCCCTATAGAAAGGGGAGTTCCAGGTTCCTTGACCCACCTAAGTAAAGCTGAGCAGTGAGGGGAAGCTAAAAAAGGACTTGGGAGAGAAGGAAGAAAGAAGACTTGGAAGAGGCACATGAGGCACATGGAGCACAGAGACAGGTGAAGAAGCTGTGTTTGCTTCTCGGCCTTGGACATGTACCAGGGACTTGGGGGACATGGAAGGAGACACATGGAGAAGACATGGGTAAGAGACCTATGGGGAGGCTGACAATGGCAGTTTTTTATTGACCTGTACTTTGGTTTTGATCTTTTCCTTCCAGACTTGCCTGGCTCCTTCTGCCCCTCTCCTCTGGTTCCCCATCAAAAGATAACTTAGACTTGTGGCAGGCTTTCAGGCCTCAGTTGCCCCACTTTGGGCCAGCCCTGTTTGCCTGGGCATTTACCCACAAGGGGATGGGTAACTTTGCTTCATTTGGAAACTAAATATTCTTTCTCGTCTCTCTATTGCACACTAAATTTATTAAAGTTCTTTGCTATTGAAGGTCTTATGCACTATGTTTGTCTTTATGCAGCAGATGACAGAACCCATTTAGAGCATGCAGGTTTGGGGGTCCTAGGGTGCTCCTCATCTGCCTGTAAAGGTTCACACAATTTTGTCTTACCCCGGAGCAAAGATTTCCTTCATGGCTTTGGTGCTTGCTGACCATCCGGCCTTGGCTTGAACATATTTGGCAGCGTGAAGTCACTACTCTCCAAACAGACCCTGACATTTTTAGGTCTTGCTAACTGAGTATCATCCATGGACCCAACAGGAATTGGATGATCAAAATTATCCACAAAGTGAATAATATGAATTTACTAAGGAGCAACTTACTAAAGTATCAGTTCAGCATAAGGAAACTACTAGGGGTAATGGGGTCCTTAGGCCTACAGGACTGAAGGGAAGGAGGGGTTGGAGGAATGCAGAGGGACACAGGAGCATGTGACACCAGTTATGGTAACACCTCACAAATGAAGTTGCAGGGTATTTTTTTTTAAAGATTTATTTATTCATGCATGCAAGAACTGGGGTGTAAGCCAGAGGTGAGGAAGGTGAAAGGATTCACCAGAGACAGAGTGGGGAGCAGAAAAGCCAGATTGACTGAAGTGGGCAAAACAGGAGGGGTCTGCTGTTCCATGTGGGTTGCTCCCTGACCGCTGGGCATCGAACTTGTGCTGTAGTGGCTGGAGTTGCTTGATAGCACTGTCTTTAACCCCTGCGCCACAAGGGAGGCCCCAGTAGGGTATTAATAAATGCTGGAACCTCATTTTCCTATTGTGCGTTGTGCCTATAGTGTCTCCCATTAGCTACAATGAACCAAAAGTTTGGAGTTAAGACAAGGCTGGGGCTAGAGGCACCTAGAGAAAAACAAAATTAAGGAGATTCTTTCCTTTGGCAATGCCACTGCAGGATGGATCCTGAGAGCGGGTACCTCCTTAAATGCCAGGCTTTGAAAGTTTGCCTCACTCTAGTCCTGACCACAGGTTAAGAGAGCCTATACAATTAAGCCAGAGGAATCTTCCTGCAGGGTCTAGAACTAGGTGGTTTATAGATTTGAGGATCGAATGGAAAATATTTAGCACACAGTGCTGGGAAGTTTTTCATTATAGTCAGTTAAAAATAAAAATCCATGGATTCCACTGAGCCCACTTGATCCACTGAACTTGATCTAGGAGCATTACTTGATTCTTCTAATTTCCAAAAAATTAAAAAACATGACACTCACAAAAAACGTAAAATGAACACATGTCAAAGATTTTATTCAACCCAATCATTAATGAATAAAGAGTAAGATGTTGAAACTAGTTCAAAAGAAAATAAGACAGATTTATAGTCAGCTAAAAGAATGTGAAAGTGAATATGCTAATAAATGCAAAGCTGGTAATATCCTCTGGGGCAATAAATTGAAACTTTAGAGTTATCTTTTCTGCTGGAGGGAAATCAATTATATGTTCACAGATAAAATTTATTTGTGTTGCTATGGACAAGAGTCATTTGCATTACAATGAACTTTCTACAAGTTAATCTCTTCTAACCAGAAAACCAACCAAAGGGGAATAACCCTTTATAATTAATTAATCCATCAAAATCCATTTGATTATTCCCAGAACTCTAAAAGACATCTAGTAATCACCTTTCTTATTTCTGTTATTGGATAATTTTTTTAAACATTTCTTCTCTACCTGGAAATCATTCCAGTATTTAAAAACATCAGAGACCTTTATTTTTCTCCAGGAGTCAGGTGTTCAGGATTAGGCACAGGTGACATATGAGCAGGAGGTGTTTTATTTCAGTTCCCAAAGAGAAAATCAAAACCATTCATTAGTAAACTGAGTGGGATGTTATCCAAAGTAAATCCTATTTACTGCCTATTTCACTCTAAATAAAACCTTCATTATATGTTCTTTGCCCAGAAAAGAGGTAGGGCTCTACATTTATAGCTATACCAGTAGGATGACAACAAGACACAAAGACTAGTCAGACAAGTAATCACAATAGTAGATTCCAAAGTGGCATTTAATTTGCCAACATGTCTAGCTAGTGTTAGTGAATAGTTAATTTGATCCAATATTACACTTTGGTGTGAACCAGAATCAAAGTATGGGCTTTCTGTTTCAGATACGAATTACAAGGTTAATGGCAACAATTGGTAATTAGTGCCTTTAAAGATGGTTATATTTCATTCCTTTGCCTTACTTTTTTCTCCCAGCATCCTTGCTCTCTTGCACCTTTCCTCTTTCATTAACTTGCTCAGAGCCTCAGAAGTAAAAAAGAACTTGCAAATCTCCTACAACAAAGATATTCAACAGAATGTTCTGCAATGATGTAAGTATTCTAGACCTGTGCTTTTCAGTGTGGTGACTGCTAGCCACCTGTGGCCGTTAAGTAATTAAAATGTTTCTGAGGTATCTCAAACTCAGCAGTATTTTTTTTTTTTAAAGATTTATTTATTTGTGCATACAAGAGCCGGGATACAGGCCAGAGATGCGGGGGAGGGGAGAGGATTCACCAGAGACAGATTGGGGAACAGAACAGGCAGATTGACTGAAATACACTGCTGAGGGGAGCAGAAGGCGAGACAGGAGAGGTCTGGTGCGCCATGTGAGTTGCTCCCTGGCCAGCTGGGGATCAACCTCATGCTGCAGAGGCTGCGGATTGCTTCATAGTGTGGTGCTTAACCCCTTGCGCCACCAGGGAGGTATTATTTTGGACCAGTGTAGGGACAGGAAAGGACACAGTGCAAGTTTTCTGATCCAGCAGACCAGGTAAAGGAGGAGTCAGAGTCTTCAGGGGCTTTTTGCAGGCTTTTATTGGGATTTACCAGGCACACAGCAGGCAGGGGTACTGGGGTGCTGGGAGGCCGGCAGGACTCCCAGCCCCCGGCAAGTCTTCACTCTATCTGGGTGTAGGGGCAGGAATGGACACAGTGCAGGTTTTCTATGATCCAGCAGACCAGGTAAAGGAGTCAGAGTCCTCAGTGACTTTTTGCAGGCTTTTATCGGGGTTTACCAGGCACACAGCAGGCAGGGGTACTGG